TTCATGTTGCCTCTTCCGACCCTCTGCCTCATCTCTCCATTAAAGACACCCCCATTGTCAGTCTTTTTCTTTCTCTGCTGTTTCTTTTGTTCAATTCTTTCGCAATTTTCGTTTTCTTCGTCTTCCAATTCTTGATTTCATCTACCGGCTTGTGTCGGGGGGAAGAAGAGAACTGAATGGCTTGGTTGAATTTCAATGTTAGTTGAATTCTTTAGAGGACTTATATTGCTGCTGATTTTTCCTAGGAAATGGATTGATTCCATTCAATACGTTCTTCTAATTGCAGAACATTTGGATGAATTAGGGGAAAACTAGTCCAGATTGATCGATTCCATCTTTGTTTGTTATTAGTTTTTTTCTGTCCTGATGATGGTTGTATCGGGATTTTAGTACTGTGAACTATGATGAGAAAATTGAGGAATGTAGAAATGCTTGTTCTTTTTTCCCCCCTTGTTAAATGTTGATTCTTGAAGTTCTTTGTTTATCTCAATGATCAAAACTTTCTGGATATCATGGTTGGATGGATTCTCTTTCAGGAGACTTCATCTGCACATTATATATTACAGCAGTACACTGCTGCTTCTGGAGGGCAAAAGCTTCAAAACTCTATTCAAAATGCCTATGCCATGGGAAAGGTGAGGATGGTAGCTTCTGAGTTTGAAACTGCTAACAGAGTTATCAGGAGCCGTAACTCCTCGAAAGATGCCGAGTCGGGTGGGTTTGTCTTGTGGCAAATGAATCCAGACATGTGGTATGTAGAGCTTGCGCTTGGTGGCAGCAAGGTTCATGCTGGGTGCAATGGGAGGCTTGTTTGGAGGCACACGCCATGGCTTGGTGCACATTGTGCTAAAGGACCCGTTAGACCCTTACGCCGTGCACTTCAGGTGATTGTCTCTGCCTTCAAGTTCACACCGTATTCGATCATTTCGCTTAAGTTGCTCCATTTTTCCAGGGGCTTGATCCTAAAACAACTGCAAGCATGTTTACCAACGCAAGATGCACTGGGGAAAAGAAGATAAACGATGAGGATTGCTTCATCCTCAAGCTCTGTGCAGATCCTGTAACATTGAAGGCCAGGAGTGAAGGGCCAGCTGAGATCATAAGACACGTTTTATTTGGTTATTTCAGTCAGAAAACGGGGCTCCTGGTGCACTTGGAAGACTCTCACTTGACCCGCATACAAAACAATGGAGGTGATGCAGTTTACTGGGAGACCACAATCAATTCATTTCTCGACGATTACCGACCCATTGAGGGGATTATGATTGCGCACTCGGGACGTTCGGTAGTAACCCTCTTCAGATTTGGAGATACTGCTATGAGCCACACCAAGACCAGGATGGAAGAAGCATGGACAATTGAAGAAGTAGCATTCAATGTCCCTGGTTTATCTGTAGACTGCTTCATTCCTCCTGCTGAACTAAGATTTGCCTCAATGAGTGAAACTTGTGAGCTCCCTCAGGGTCAGATCATTGATAATGCTGTTGCAGCACAAGCATATCATACTACTAAAGTCGCTGCTCTCGACAAGTTCAACGACAGTAATGTCATCTGGAATACAGACGCTTAAGGGGATGACGTGAAGAGTGACAGACAGACAGTAGTAAGTTATTGTACTGATAGCAAGCTAGATGCCTAGATCTCCTTGAGATAATTAATAGCACATATAGGAACTGGGACCAATACTCTTTTAAATTTGTAAATAGAGCATTGTCATTCATAAAATTTTCCCCTGTTCCTTGGTAAATTGTCAATAGTCATCCAAAAGACTCCTTTTGAAATTTGGTTCCTATTCTTCAAAGTCAAATCACTTTCCCCTCATAATTAAAGCTTATCTTCCTCACACCAACTGTAATCAAAGAACCGAACTTAGGTCTGGTTCGTGGGTTTGTTAATTTACGGCCTACATAAAACCATGTTATAGAAATTCAAGCTTATATAATCTACCTTCTGTGTTACATATTAATCTTTACACATCCTAAACTTATACGAACTCAAGCTCTTCTTCATAAACTGTCTCGTTAAAACCGTCAACCAAACATCTCCCATTTGATGTCATAATCCATCCAAAGCTCTCATAATTCATCCAAAGTCAGCTTTGGATGCACTTGTTTGCATAATAATTGCCTAGTTCTATTCTCATCAAAACACTGATGAATTTGAATCAGCAGAAGGGACTGTTCATCATGAGATGATGCAATCTGCTGTTGCCATTATTGGGTGGTCTTATCAAGTAGTTTTCCATAAAGTTAAATTACGTATTAGAAGGGCTACAGTTAACAAAAATACTTATTGCATAAAACCCTTTGATTGATCGTTTTCAAGAGCAAATGAGAAGCCATTATTGTGCTTAAACCTTACACTCTGCTGGTACGTACATGTTGAATAATGCAGTCCCATGTTGGCTTCCTTTTTTCCTTTTCCACGCTAGCTTCAATTCTGTCGGATCCATAACTTAATGTGGGATTTGAAACTTAGTACAGGTAAAGGCCAAGATCATGTCTAATGCGGAGGCCCCAATTATTATATTGAGAAGACTAATGCCACCGACTCATAATTAAAACGCCCCCTTGCTTGCTTTATTTGGAATCATTGCATCTTTGGTGTCAGTCACTCACAAAATTAATTCTAAGTGTAGCAAGTTTTTGCTGGATCTAATCAACCCAACTAAAACAGTTTTGGGTTGGGTTGGGTTGGGTGGGGTTGTAAGGCTAATTCAGGTTAGTTTGGATTTGGATAGAGTTAGAATTATTATGAGACTAGTTGGTTGATGAATTTTCTTCTTATTAAGCTGAGTTTACGACTCTAAAATTTTGGTTAAATCAAATTCATTCTATGATCACTTTCACGGTAGCAGTTTTAATAAATTTGAGTTTGAATGGCTTGGAGTTTGTAAAGTCTAGTTTATGTAGCATGTGTTTAGATGTGCAAATTAGGAGATGCTATATAAACTTGTATTAGATGGTTTGTGGGATTATTTTTTGGCATCTAGGCAGTTGCATAAGCTTGAAACTCGAGATCAAGAGAGTGCCAAGATGCAACCTTTACCTTTGTTATGGTGGTTCAAAGTGGAACTCCAAGATCGGAGTGTCTTGATGCTACCTCAAGCGCCTTGACGCTGCCATACCTCAACTATTTGCTTTCACCCTTCGCTTTTGCTTTCACAATGCCCTTTCTATTCCTCTGCACGTTTTTCTTGATTCGTTCTGAAACTGCTGAATTAGTTTTAGTACCGAATGTGGATGTTAAGTTTTTTTTGGTTGTATTCTTGGAGTTTCTTGAAGGATTTTGTTGGGTTTGGTGATGGATATCGTTTCGTGTTTGAATAAGTTTTTGAAACATGTGGAGTGGGGGATTGAACTTACAACCTCTTGGTTGGAGATATATGCCAATTACCACTTAGYTATGCTCACTTTGGCACAGATTAGTGAGTTTAGAAGTTGGTTTTTGGTGTTTGGATGTTTCCCGTGAGTTTTTGTCATTTTGGGGCTTTTTCTGCTGTTTTTAATGGCTTTGAAGGTTCTACAATTCAGTTGGCATGGTGGGGGATTTTATAAAACCAGTGTTGTTGAGGTGTGTAATGAGCCTCTTTTGAACTTGTTGAATAATCTTAGAATTAATCTGGTTGAATATGTTTTAACTTTTAGAGTTTGTCCTTTAAACTTCACAAGTATATATTCAGCGTTGTTGAGGTCATCCCAACTTTACAAGTTTTTGGTTTTCTTTTCCTCAAATCTGAGCAGAATGGAAAAGAGAGTGGCTGATTAAAATCCTAAAATTAAAAAAAAAWATATATATATATATATAGATAGTGTACCGAATTTGTTTGGTATAAGAACACTAACCCACTCAATTGATAGAACGCAGGCACTAACGATATATTGCAATATAAAAGGTATAAGAACTACAATAATTACCAAGTAATTTGAGTTACTTGGATCATTCTCTCTTAAGTAGCTTAAACCATACTCACTTTATTTATAACTAAACTCCCTGATCCAATTACTAATATACCCTTAATACTCTAATAATATTCATAACTTATCCTAATAGCAATCCTATCATATAATCGAAACGATTTCAATTTTTTTTATCTTTGCTTGAAAATCAAACAGAACCAAAATTTTTAACCCCGGGTGACTATACAAATCAAATTTGAGTCAAGTGTGTCCCAAAGTAAACACTTCAAAATTTGAAGAGTTGGGGGTGCCCTCAATTTTGGGCCATAAAGTAGGGGATATTCTACCACTTGATAAGGCAAGGCCATGGCTGGAAGTGGATCAAGAACCAAAAGGCCCACCGTCGAGGAGAATATGAAAAGTCGAGCTCTTAAACTAGCTAGGAAAGGACCACAAACAAAATCATACATTTTTATACATTCTTAGTCTGGGTAACCAAAGTTTGAGTCATCATCGGCTGGGATAATCAATGCAAAGCACACGCCACAAATCCAACCATCCAATTACGAACTAAAACTCCTCCTGAATCCCTGACGTGTGTGTCAGCTCCCTCGCACGAGCTACAGACTGAACACACAAAACCCATAACATAACTTAAGCATGTTTAATTCTTTCTTTAATCTAATCTACAAACATTAATATATACATATATATATTACTTCGTACTTGTGTGTTCCATTATTCAAATATATTATCAGGCTTGTGTTTGTGTTGTGTTTCAGCTTTCTGCAAAAGTTTCATATGGGAGGATCTGGTGCGGTATTTGATATCTGAGGTAAAAGTTGGGGAATTAAAGGGGCATGGCTTCTGGCTTTTATTCTGAGTAGTGAATTTGTGGTCCCTCTCCTTCTTTTCTGCAGAGGGATCCAACTGGTCTGCACATTTTGTACTTCAATATCTAATTTATATTTTATGAGATGGATGATGGAGTTAGAAGATGGGAGCTGTTTATACCTAAATCTAAGTACGATGTGGACTATACTCAGTTATATACCAGCAATCTACGTAACAAAAGATCTATACAAAAAGAAAAAATACTCTAACACTCAAATTAGTATGACCTGTCAAATCGAAGAATGAGAGTTGCACACCTGTAACTTGCGTACGAAAATAAATGTCTATTTAGAGAAGAATGGTGGTGGATCCCACATCTCTAATCTACTAAGGCCGTTTCAATATAAGTTGCTAGGTTATTGGTTGCGCGAGTTACTTTTACATTAGTCTTCTTTTAGCGGCCATAAGTAGTAGTCCAAGCTATAGGATTACTCTCTAGTCGAGCTTTATAGCTTGGTCACTGCATATTTCTAAAGTAATTCAAGAAAACGTCATGTGAGATGATATTTTCTCCTTGTTCCGCGCGGTAGGTTGTATTTTGCTCAATATCAAGAATCAATTTTATATATCTTTCACTAGGAATGTTTGAAAACTTTGAAGGAGTAGGGGCAGGCAGGTAGCTGATTAGCTCTAGAGACTTTGGAGCCTAGCTTTGTTTCAGACAATATCATGACAAATTTTACTAGGGAATCTGAAACTTTTGTTTTTACCTGCCAAAATTCTTACCCTAATTCTTCTCAGTTTCTTCTTCTTCTTCTTCTTCTGATAATTCTCTCTCTCTTGCCAGAAGACGACGAGTGAGACTGTGGGGAGGACTGGACCACAAGCTTTCTGACGTGGGAAGCACTTCCAGCTGGTCGTCTCCCCATTTTCATTAATATTGTTACAAAATCAAACCCAAAGTGGCCATTTGTATGAAAAATACCCATACAATTACTTAATATATATATATTATATAAATATCATATCATATCATATTTTTACTGCATTTAGAAACAACCCCACCATTTATATGGAAGTGTTGATTAGTGGGTGAACATGAATACTCCAAAGTTTTTACCTTTATTCTTTCTTCTTGTAGTTCTTCATTTAGATTTTTTCTACAAGAAGTTACGATTGATATGGGAATTCGAGACTCTTAAACAACATGAGTTCAATTATAGAAATCCGAGCTTGCATGCGCCGTTTATCTCCCTCATTCAAAAAATAAATAAAGAAAGAAATAAAAACCTTTCCTTTATCTATAATACTCCATGATCTTAAACATCAAACCCTAGAGCTCCAACCTTTTTCCAAAACCGTAAATTCCCAACAAAAGGAAGAAGGAAGGAAAGCCACGAGATGAGGGATTGCACCAATTCCCCTTGTTTCTTTTGCTTAACAAAAGAGACCCACTTGCCCACAAGAAGAGCTGGAATAAGCAAATGTTTCAATGAGTTACCTTATAGAGATGACCATGACCATGTCCTTGTCCTAAGTGCCCTTTGGCACATAGCCATGGCTCACCCAAATGACAGAGAATACCCTTCTCTTGGTGTCTTTGAATGCATGGGAAATCTTATCCAAAGGGGCCTCAACGACAGCAATTGGCTTCTTAGGGACCAAAACATCTACATCCCATATTATGCAGCTCATGTCATTGGCTCTTACACCATCAACAAGCCTGAGTTTGCTCAAAAAGCTGTGGAATCAGGAGTGATCCCCCCATTAATGGAGCTTCTGAGAGGAAAAATGAGCTGGGTCGAGCGGAGAGTCGCCGTCCGAGCACTCGGCCATCTCGCTAGCTACGACTCTACTTTTGAAGCCCTTGCTGAATATCAAGAGGAAATTGTCAAATCAGCCATGGAGATTTCTTGCTCTTGCCTTGATTTAGTGTACAACAACTTTGTAGCATCAAAGGAAGAAGATAGAGAGAAATACCATAGAGATTTGCTCACAAGAGGAGTTGGAGGGAGAGAGATTGAGGATAGGAAGGCAGAGGAATGGGCTAGCCAACTCCAATGTTGGAGCCTCCATTTGGTGAAATGTTTTGCTTCCAAAGGGAGGTGTTTGGACATCATTTGCAAAAAAAATCCAATCTTTTTAAGAGATTTGTGTGGAATGTGGGGTGGATTGTCAAATTACACCTCAAGTGGTGGAGTAGGACTAGTAAAAATCTTGACCCACAACAAATTTTCAAGGAAGTACATTGCTGAATCCAGAGAAATAATTGACACCCTTTGCAACTTGTCAAGATCTTCAGATGACTGGCAATACATTGGCATTGATTGTCTCTTACTCCTCCTCAAAGACCCACAAACCAGGTACAACGTTATTCAAATTGCTGCCTTTTGTCTCATAGATTTGGTCGAAATCAGAACACTTGGAGATAGGTCAAATCTGGGAGAGGCCATCACACATGCCCTCCTCCTAGATTACAACCAAATCAAAACCAATTTCAAGAACCATCAAAATCTCCAAAAGATTCTAAGAGAAACATGGGATCTAAAAGTGGAGAGGAAGAGGAAAGAGAAGCTGTTATCTGAGGAGAAGCTTGAAGGGAAAAGGGTGATGGTGAATCTCATAAAACAAGCAGCAAATGAACTGTTTAGATTGGGAGAAATAGAGGCAGCTCTAAGAAAATACAAAGAAGGGCTAGATTTATGTCCATTGAGGCTCAGAAAAGAGAGAATGGTGCTCCATAGCAACAAAGCTCAATGCCATTTGCTGCTGAGGGATCCAGATTCTGCCATTAGTGACTCAACTCGAGCTTTGTGTTACTCAAATCCAACAAATTCTCACAGTAAAAGCTTGTGGAGAAGATCTCAGGCTTATGAGATGAAAGGGTTGGCGAAGGAGAGCTTGATGGACTGTATAATGTTTGTAAATGGTGGGATGAAAATGGCTGAAGATCATAAAAGAATCAAGATCCCATATCATGCTGCTAGAATGATTAGCAAGCAGATGGACGGCACGTGGCTTTTTGCATCCGCTAGATTAAAGAAATTGGCTTCAGTTAAAGTGGAGAAAGCTGAAGATTCTTCTAACAACAGCCATGAGAGGCATGGAATGTTGATGAGGACAATGACTGTATAAACAATTCATATCTGGTACGTAAACAAAGTTGGTTTTATATATTCATATGGCTAGTTTCTCATTATTCAGAAATTTAAACATATACATAAATCAACATCATTTTTTATGCTTTGTTTCAAAATATTGAATTACATGACCAATATTATATGAAGTGATGATCCGTGGGAAAAGTTTAAAATCTAGAATTTGAAATCATTTCTAACCGATTCTAGACATTAATAATATGTTATTATTTCTTTTAAACTCAATTATGAATTCGAGCCCAAATCTGTTATTGTGTGGTTGCTTTGGTTGTGAATTGCAGGTTCTTTAGCCGCCAATATGGAAAAACCTTTATACGTGAAAAGGGAAAGAGGGTGAGAAAGCTGGAAAATTCGAAGAGGCCAATTATAAAGCCATGAAAGTTTTTGATGTTATTACTGATTTCATAATGTAAGGATTAAGACAAAACTTCCAATAGTTATTAAGCAAAACCAACCACTTCATATGGGTTGGGAGTAATATTTTTTGAATTTCAAATTAAACACAATTTGGGCGCAAATTAACAACATGCATTTGCAAAAGTCAGCACTCAAAATATAAAATTCGACATGCATGTCTACATATAATTGGTGGACCAAGAAGTGTTTTTGTGTCCATAGATTGAAGCTAAAGTTAAAAATAATCTAATTATTAAGTTTGAAGTTGTGACCTAAAATAGTATCCCTTGCTGAAATAATGGACTTTTTAGTTGTCGTGACAATATATATTAATTTTATTAACCAACCCTAAATTGTTATAATTTTTTGAAATATGATGTTGAAGAAACCCATCACCACATGTTCTATGTGATATGAGTGGGGAAAAGTTAATGCTTTTTTGCCAAATTAAGATAAAATAACTTAAATGGGCAGCGATACCTGATCAAGTTTTAGCTAAATTTTGAACACCGTCAAACACAATAAAGTTTGTTTTTGTATTTAGAGGTAAGGTAATTTACGAAATGTTCATAATTAGATTTTGAGTAAATATACAACGTAATATAATATATAGATACCGGGTGAGACCAAAGTAAAGAAGAAAATAAATTTTATAAATAGTGTGTATAATATATTCTTCATCTACGCATTCTCCTAAGATTTTAGAAAATTTTATTTTCTAAAATTAAAAGGGAAAAAATGAACGAGCGTAGAGAGAACTCCATGTGTTTTTTTAGGAAGTATCACACTTATTTTTATTGTAGTTTTAATAATTTTAAATATATTTTTAAAATATTTAATACTTTTAAGTGTTTTGATCTTGGTTTTCATTTGTCCTTATTGTTACCGTCTTATTTTCACATTTGATATTAAAATCAATATATAATTTAAAATAAGGTGAGAATTGAGATGTCGCACAAAATTTTAAATACATGCAATACCAAAGTCTAATCAGTAACAACTACCCCAATGAGTTTAAAGATGAAACAAAATAGTTAAATTTCAATGCATAARTTTATGAACTTTTATACAGTGTTAAGTACATTCTTGAATTTTGAATTTCGTATTTCGTATTTATAAATCTGTCTTATTAGATATTTTCAAAATTATAAAATCAAAAACAAAATTGTTATCAAACAAAATTAGAATTATATTCAAATATATATATAGATAGTTATCAGTCAAAAGTTTCAGAAAATTTATGAATTTATGTATGTTGACTTTGACACAATTTTGAAAATTTTAGAACTAAATTTATAATTATAAAATATTTAAAAGTGCAATGCAAATAACAAGATGAGAATTAGAAAGCAACCAGTTCGAAGAATGGGTCGAAGAAACTTTCTGTTCTATGGCTAATCTTTTAGATAACACTTCATTTAGCCTTTTTAACTTTTTAGAATCCTTAATTTCAGCTTCTATTGTTAACAAATTCCCCTTAGATACTATCACAAATTCCCCTTATATACTATTGTTAACCAGAATTCTTTAAGCTAATATTTTATTAACATATTTAAAATAGTAATTCACAGTCAACTAGAGCATAGTTTAAATTTAGGCATATGTACCCAATCATGAGGTTGTGAGTTCATTGACTCATAGAAAATGTTAAGGATAAAGGTATCTCAAATATCCCGAATATCTCCACAGTGGTATGATGTTATCCACTTTGGACATAATACTCAAAGCTTACTCTTTCTACCCTCCCTACCAACCCAACAAAAAAAAATGGTTAAAAAAGTCCCAAGTAATTTTTTTTCCAAAAAGCACCTAATGGGAGATGGTGGGGGCATGGTGGTTTATGGATTTTTGGACTGTGAAGAAGAGTAAAGGACATAGGTTTTTGGGATTTTACTTGAAACCACAAGATGAAAGGCTTTAAGATCATGCCTTCAATATAAATTCAATGTTCAATAATATAGTCTTCGAAGTTCGAATTTGAAGCCCTATTTCTCTTTGCTGCACTTTACTTGACTTTTAAGATGATAACATACATCTTATCTACTAAACTATGCTGCAAATAAGTGTAATACTGTATGAAAGTTACAAAGAGATAAAAAAGAAAATAAAAGATCAAAATGGATGATTACATGGACTAAAATAAAATTTAAAACTATTTAATATTATAAAAGTAAAGTTGGTGGCACCCGGAAAAAAAGAAATATAGATTTGAAACAGGACCAAAGACACGGAATAAAGGGGGAAAAGATTCAATGGTTAGCCCCTAGCCCTTTTCCTTTGTCTCTCGTACAGACCTTTTTAACTCTTGATCAGCTAAATAACACTTTGGTAAATAACAACAGTGACTAAAGCATATTTCAACTATGGATACATACATCTTAGAAAGTGTTTAATGTACAAAGCTGCTGTGCGGCAAACAAAGATATCTCAACAATGGCGAGATCATCGTCCACCGTCGTCCACTTCTTACTGCCATAATACTACAACAAATTGGTCGACAATAATGGCTCCTCATAGCAAACGAAGTGCAACCAAAACTGAAAAACATGAAAGAACAGACATAAGTCTCTCTCTAAAGCAATGTCTGAATGTGATGAATGAAAAAAACAACAGAATCAGACCACTACCCATGCTACACAACAATGGCTACATGTGACTACATCTAAGATAGGATACACAGTCTCAATTAAGGAGCTTCACAATGGAAAAAGAATGAATTACATATATGAATTCAATGGTGGAAGGCTGGGAGCGATCAGCAGGTAAGGAAATAAAGCTGCTGCCAACTCAAATTCCACTATTTAAGCATAAAATGCACAAGAAAACTTGGAACTTCCGAACGGTGAGATGAACAAACCCCATATGACCTACCACTAATCTTTACCTGTGTTACTCCGTAAGTGGCTGTGGAGGTCCCTTCTAGCGGAAGATTACAACGAGGGATTTCAACTGGGAAGAAATTGATCTAGAACATGGATCACATTTGTCGTCAAATGGTCTGAAGTTTTAGGGTCAAATGTATGTTGGGTTTTGGTTTTGGCAACATTGCCAATAGGAACACAACTTTACTCCTTAAATCGGCTGTGGAAGTTCTCTCGGGGGTACAATTTCTTATGGGATCCATTTGGTTGTGTAGGTCAGTTTTGAAACCAAAACCAACCTGATGGCAAAAAATACTATTTAACCAAGAAAATGAAAAAAGCCGAAGCAATGATGGTTCTTCAGTTAACCATGATCCAGAATAGAAGGTTTTTAAACCACACATGACAAACAAAAAAGTGCGAGCTAACAAAAACCACCCTGCCAAAAATGTTGTAGCAGAAAGTATAAAGGGAGGATGCATTACCAACTAATGATGATAATTGTTTGGCTCTGGGGGAAATTTAAGAACTGATGGTGTGGATTCTCTTTGGCAATGGCAATTGCAATTGAGCAACACCAAGCACGAACAAAATCAAGCTTACTACCTGATCGTGTAGATTCTCTATTGCAATTGCAAGTGAGACCTGGTGTCTTTTCTTTTTTCTTTTTTTCTTTTTTTTATTAATTTCTTTAGATCTTATAATGATCTACTCGCTGAAGGTTGAAAAAACTAATAATAAAAGGGGCAGTGATTCCATTGTTTGGTCAGTGTAACAGTTTCAAAACCAGTAAGATCGACACCTGATATTTCAGTCAAGAATTCAGTAAAACTGAAACCGACCAGACTTGTATTAAACCAACTGCCTGACATCAATTTTGGTGATTTCATCTTCCACCCAGCACCCCTACTGGCATTCATGGCAGAGATGATAGAGACTGGTTCTCCAAAATAAACAAAGAGTAGTTTCAAGAGCCGATGGAGTAGACTTACACGCTTGCTGATCTTTTGAAGAAAAGCTTTGTCCTTAAGGTTGGGAAGGGCAACCGAGCTAAATTCTCGATAGATGCTGGGCTAGTCTATTAGGATTACTGGTAAGGATATGTTGGGTATATTAGCAGTGATATATTTTTAATTACTTAAGATTGAGAAGTTTGTTTGCTAAAGTTGGGTGGTTATAAATAGAGTGAAGAAGTCTGGGGTCGGGATTTTTTATGAAAAAAGTTCAAGCCTCTCAGAGTGTTGGGGGCACTTATAATTTCTTTTACCGATTTTAGCACGAATTAGATTATCTAACAAACTTCTCCAGTAAATACAAATATGTCACTGCTAATATTCCCAACAAATCCCTGTTTCCTAATTTGAGAGCACTGAAGGGCCAAATGCTCAATTAGCCCCAGGAAATGTTATCAGAGGGCGAGGATAACCAAAAAACCTGTTTTCACTTCACATGCCTAAAATATCTGTCTATGAAGGTAAGGTAATAAATAAGAGGGTTAATGTGAAATAGAACAATATAAGGAGTGCGGATCAATTCTTACTCTCAAGTTTCTCTCGACACAGAAGTTAGACATTTTGTAAGAAGTTGTTCGGCAGGGAGACAAAATACGATATTATTATTCATTTAAGTTATAAAAGCTGTGTTTTATGAAATGCTTCTCATCCAATAAAATAAAAGCAACTCACACACTAAGGTTATTTATTTAGATGGAGGGCAAAAAGATCTAAAACAACAAATTAAGCAATGTCATACATCTTATGAACTCCAAAAGACTAATATGAAAAGGATGAACCACGGGAAACAAGTCAAAAAGTTAGAAACGTAAAGCTATGAACACGTTCATATTTACATTTTCTATATCTGAAGTATAGCACCTGAGCAGTTCAACACAAAGAAACTCAAAGATACAACTTAAGTAAACAGCATTTTTCTCAGAATATAAAAAATGTAAATCAAATCACACCTCACAGCTATTGCTTCTTGAGACACAAATACAAGATTAAAAAATATGCCAAGAAGAACAGAGTCTGACAGTTCAAAAAAAAGCTTACCGATCAATAGAATGAGAATCGTTGAAAAAGTCACTTGAACAGGCCTACTATACTGCATTTGATATAGAGACCTCTGAAACTGTCTCTGAATAGATCCATACCAGCCATAGAGTTGCTTATCATAAAAATCATCACAGCTATCTAAGCAACTCTTATTTCTTACATATCCAGCAATTATACCCTACATGGAAAAGAACAGAAACTATAATCAAGTGACTAGACCAAGATATCGAGCTCATAATTACAGAAACAAAAACTGATTTGACATATAAACTAACAATTGATAGGATGCATACCCTGGTTGATTGAGGGGATTGCAACAATGTCGAATTAGTTTCTTGATGCCTATCTACTACTTTCGACTTCCTAAAGCCATTCTTTGGCCACTTGAGTTTTGGTGCAGACTCGACAGTACTTAAAAGCCCAGAAAAACTTGGGATCTTTCGTACAGGTTGGGATTGTCCATTTAAAGAACCTTGTTGGAAATCAACCCCGGAAATTGCAATCTTCCAGGAACCAATGTCAGGACTAGCGCTAGCTGTCCTCCGGTGTCCATGGGACTTCTCCTCCCGATAGTCACCCCGGTCAGCTGATTGTAGAGAGTTACTCGAACAAGCTGGTGCTGATTCCTCATCCATTGCTTGTGAGTTTCCATTGTCACTAACAACATTGTTAACAACAGTTTTATCTTCTCCTGTTGAAGGTCCTGAAAGAAACAATGCGAGTTCGTTGCTTTCACCTTCATCCAGCCGCATCCAAGGCAGTGAAGATTTTCCCTTTGATTCAGAAACTTCTTGTAACGAATTTTCAGTTTTTGAAACCTGATCCTCAATTGCTACAATAAATTCCCGGTGCCTATCTCTCGCATCTTCATTTGTGTTATTAATATAACTTGATTTCACAGCTCGTTCGAACTCCTCTAACTGCATTGGCAACACAAGTAATAGCTATTTCAGCAAAAGTACGAAGCTGGTTAATTGAATAGAAACTAACACACAGAGATGATTATTGGGGGTATGACATTTATGAAAAGAAGAGGAAAGGAGCCTCAACCCAAGCTAGGGAAGTTGCACAAAAAAAAAAAAAATGTTGCAGTTAGCCAAGCGTATGGAACGTAGAGAGGATTCTTCTGGAGAGGGAAGGAATTGAGGGGTAAGATCACCTGCCATTTGGTGGTGCCAAGAGCAGTGCGTAAATCCCTACCGAGCTCATCACAGTTCCAAATGCTTGATTCATCTTTGGATGCATGTACCCACGTTCTATAAGTCGATTCCATCCTGAGATACATAAACGACAAAGATGGGGGCCATGAGTATCCGATTAATTGAAAACATATCACAACGAGAAAGAGGATGGAAGGCGGGGGAAAACCCCCGTTACATTAACTTTCCGGGCAAAATCTAAATCTGAGGACAAATACCATCAATCGAAGAAACAAATTCCAGAAGGARCCCTTTTGGTCGAATAATTTGTGGGCACTTTGAAAACTGAAAAGAAATTTACCTATCGGCAGATTCTTGAACTTCCTCGGCGGCTGAGAAAAAGGGATCCTTTTCCCACCGATCAAAACTCGAAGCCATATTTCTTCGCAGAAAAAAAAAATTCGTCCCAACAAATCAAAAATAAAAAAGAAAGAAAATTAGAAGATTATGGTATCCACGGAAGAGGAAAACCCCAGGCCAATCCGGCAGGCAGTAGGACACCAGAAACAGATTCGATTGGAATAATGCAGAAGAATCATGGAAGCGTGGGCGGTAGAGGAGGAGGAGAGGAAAGCGATTGGTATATTCGAGGAGGAGCAGTAGCGCGTGGAATTAGAAAGGTGAAGAAGGCGGGCGTCGTTTTGGCCTCATGATTCTCAACGAAACGAAGCCGATGTTGTTTTGTTAATTGTTATGAAACTTGAAACACCCGCGAAGGTGGATCCGACATCCGATCGTGGTAACTTCCTCAGGCCGACGCCGTTTTCCCATTTGGTTTCAATTTCAACTTTCAATTCTAAAACCTCATTAAATTAGTTATATGTCTTATGGTTATGATTATTTGGTTCAGGGGTTAATTAGAGTAACACACTCTTAATGTATTAAAAAAGGCAGTTTGTTACATGGGTTTATTTATCTTGGGCTAATTTGAGTAACGTATTTTTTTAAATTAAATTTTTTTTTAACAAATTCAAACTTATTATCTATCTAAATATAGTTGGATGAGAAGACCATTTTTTTTAATTAAATGTTCGATCTGTCATGTAGATATTTGTTATGCTAAAAACAATACTCAAACATTTAAGGGTGTGTTTGGTAGTGATTTTAGCATGGCCAAAATTACTTTTGTCATTGTCAAAATCATTTCTAGTTTCGTAAATTAGAAAATTGATTTTATGAAAGCTTAAAATCACTTTAAATTGGTTTTAAAAGTATCACTTTGGACCGTGATTTTGAAAAATCAATTATACTTAAATCTCTTTTTTTTTTCAAAATCAATCCTACCATCACTCTCAAATACACCATAAAATTTACTTAAAAAAAAGTTCTCACTAAAATGTTACAAAATAGAAAATTCTTCTAGACAATTTATTGTAAATTAAGATTTTTTTTTTTTTACCATAAGTGGGGGTGGGGTTTCTAATTCTTTGTTCGCATATAAGTGCCTAAACTAGTTGAGTTATGTTTGGCTATAGTAAATTTAGAATCGAGAGAAATTTCAATCCTTATTTTAAAAATATCACAACTATTCTTTTTTTTTTTAATGTATCATTAAGTTTGAACTAAATATGTATTTTATGCGATATGGATTTTTTTAGTTCAATAATTACAGGACAGAAGATCAAACTATCAACTTTTGATATGACAACAGGTTTCTTACCCACTCTAACTATAATTTGGAAGGACAACAAATTAAAAGTCAAATTTAAACCATGTTTTGAAAAAAAAAAGTGACATTAAATTTATTCAATTTCTCTTTATGTTAAATTTTATTTTGATGCTATTTAAGTAGATGGTGTAGGATTATTATTACTATTGTTATTTGCAAAAAAAGTAAGATTATAATTATATCAGTAGTGGTTATTAGAAAGAAAGAAACAAATCGGTTGCAAAGCAAGGGATGGGGCGTGTGGCAGTGGTTCAATCTCAATGCAATCGATCCAAATTTTGATGAACATGTTCCATCTTCTCCAATGGCGACTTCGTAACCCGTTTTTACAGACCACAAATTCTCCAATCGATAATTTAACCATCAACCATTCATAAATACTTATGGTCGATTTCAAATATATACCTAACAAATGTTGATAATCAAATATGAACTTGATTGAACAAAATTTTAAGTTTTTCAGACACCGGGATTTCAGTTCAAATGTTTTTTCAGAATTGATGATGTAGATGTTCTCAATTATCTCCTCTAATTGTGAAGTTCACGATTGCAAATATAATGACAAGTATTTTATGGGCACGAGTGAGTTCTAACAGATTTTTTACTTGGTTGTTTGTTAAAATTAATGGTCAGCATGATGAAAGTTATTAATATTATTATTTTTTACTTCGGGACACAAAGAGGATTCAAACCTAGATCTTGAATGTTAACACTCAAAGCTTCTTGCCACTGCACCTACACCGAGAGTGCTTGCATGCTAAAAATTAAACATAGAAGTAAAAGTTGTAACAAGTTTAGGTTTGACTGAATATTTAAGAAGTTTTATAAAATTCTTTTAAATTGGTATGTTACCATTGGCAATATAATGCATTCCACACACCTGCAAAAAACTGAGTAAGGTATGACTTAGTTAAGGTATAATCGATAGGAGAATTTGAGTGTCATTGGGAAGAAATGACCAATTCAATAGATCAAGATAGACTGACTAAAATGATCTGAAATATAACAGTTTGGAGAGGAAGGTTTGCACGAGGGAACAAATAAATTTTGAATCTGACCTTGATATGAAGATCAAGTTAGAATACCGTACCTGATAGCATGTAAACATATTTTAACTTATGTCATACGTCACATTAAAATATTAAAAATTTGTTAATATATGGAGTGAATCGGTTTTTTCATGGTATAATTATTACTAATATGGCATCATATTAACATTACCATTTTCAATTTATTTAAAATGTAATAAAATATTTGTTTTTATAATCTTTTAAATAATATCCATTGAAATCATATTTTATAATATTTTCATCAACGTTCATATTAGAAGCTTTGGTAAAAAATTGGAATGTAATATTTTATATATTCGAAAAAGAAAATACAGAAGCACTCATGTTAGATGGGCCTATAAAAGCCTGTTTAGTTTAGAGTTTAGTGGCCAAGTGAAGCCCAGACTTGACCTTTTCTAAAACGGGCCTAGAGCAATTGACAGCATTTTGACAGAGCCACTCCCAAAGGCTCCGAGTGCGAGATTCTCCGTCATATCTCCGTTGGCGCGCCGGGATCTCACTGTGCGTGTGTGTGCGGGTTTCGAAGTGCAAAGCAGGCGGCCATGGACGAGTGCCAGCAGCTGTGCCTGGCGGCGCGGACCGGCGACGCCCACAATCTCAGAGCTCTAATAGATTCCGGAGCCGATGTCTCTCTGTTCGACGCCGAGGGCCTTACACCTCTTATGCACGCCGCCAAGCATGGCCACGCCGAGGTCGTTAAGGCTCTTCTGGAAACTGGTGCGCCCTGGAACGCGCTCTCTCCTTCCAATCTCTCTGCTGGGGACTTTGCTCTGGACGCTGGTCACCAGGACGTCTTCCAGATTCTTCTTAATGCCGGTACAGCTCCCTGCTGATTCTAAACTACAGTAACTTATGCTCAGTATAACATCTCGGTAGATTGAACCTTTCAAATTTAGTTAACGCAGAGATTTGTGGTTAATTCTGGTGTAAACGTAACTTGTTAGTTAGGGAAATTCGAGATTTTTCTATTTGGTAACTTTTAAACTGTCTATTTTACTTCTTAAACCTTCTGGTTTATTCCATTTTAATTTATAATCTTGAAAAAAACAATCCATTTAACCCTTGCCTACCGTTTTTTTTTTTTTAACAGATGGATAATAACATGTTAAAGTGGTCATGTATTAGAGCCACATGGGTTGTTGTTGAGGCAATTATGGCTAATGCAAAGAAGCCAAAAATGGTAGCAAGAATCAAAGTAGCTATTTTTTTTTTTAAAAGTCCGACGTTCTGAAAGTTCAGAATTCAAAATTGAATGAATTTAAAAGTTTTTCATATATGTTTTGCACAAAGTAATTCTGACAAGAGCTGTATATCTTGTCTTGGATCTTGGACATCTAATACCTTTGAAATTTTGATTTATATCAGACTCCATTCCCTTATAGTTTTACTTTTAATGTGAAAGGGATTCAAGCCGAGTTGGTTCTTGGGACTATTGCTAGGAAAGCAAGCCAGAATGGTGTCTGTAATGGGGATTACTTGGATGATAGAGTTAGTTTTAGTGAAGATAAGGTGATGGATTCCGAAAGCAAAGCGGTCATGATGGCTTGGGAAAAACCATTGATGGAAGCTCATGCTAAGGCTGTTTGCATGGGTGGTGGTCACATACTGAACATCGGATTTGGAATGGGCCTAGTGGATACAGCCATTCAACAATATTCCCCCACTTCACATACAATAGTTGAGGCTCACCCAGAGGTTTATAAACGTATGATTGAAACTGGATGGGCTGATAAGAACAATGTGAAAATTATATTTGGTCGTTGGCAAGATGTCCTACCTCAACTTGAATCTTATGATGGTGAGTCAGTACTGAAATATTTTTTATCCATCCTCATATGAATATTCCATATCTGTCTTTGGTATCTAAATAGTGTAAACAAGTTTGAGTTTAAATTTCGTGAGTTTATTCTACTCAGTATAATTGTACGAGTACATTTAGCTTCATATATTTTGCTTATAGTTCAAGAAATTTCAAATAGGCTTCCACTGATATCCTTGCTATTTAGATTTTAATACGATTTGGTATGAGCTTATTCCAATTTCATTATGCATGAGGCCTATCCTTTATATACATTTTAACATAAAGGATTTTAAATTTCCTTTTCATTAGATGTTTGGTCATTTTGAAAAACGTTTATTTGGTTTCAGATCCTTTTCAAACCTTTTGCTATAAGACATTGCAGCGTCATCAGAAATATGCTATTAATTTCTTCAACTTCTTGTAGGATTGAAAATTTCATCACTTCCTTACATATTGTCTTTCAAATGTAAATATCATAAACTAAAACGTATTTTCAATTTAAAAATCATTGAAGTGTATGAAAATATTCCAACATAATAAAAAAATTTGTATATTTCAACTATGTGTAGTGTTTTGTTTGTGCCTTGTGCCTGTTTAGAGGGACTAGATTTTTTCATTTTTATTTTTGTAAGAGAGACATTTTTGGTTAATTGTAATTAGTTACTTTTTTGTAAGTTCCAAAGTATTGATCACTTCAAGTAGTCATTTGAAGCATTGTAATAATTTATCTTAAGAATATCTCGGTGTGCTTTCTCATTTTGCATGGTTATTGTAAGTTGGTGCGTTACCTTCTGATGTTCAGGTATTTTCTTTGACACATATGGAGAATACTATGAAGACCTGAGAGGGTTCCATCAGCATCTTCCAAAACTGTTAAAGCCTGGAGGAATCTACTCATTCTTCAATGGTCTTTGTGGAGGTAATGCTTTTTTCCATGTTGTTTATTGTAATATAGTTTCTCTTGAACTAGAAAATCTGGGCTGCTCCACCCAATTTATTCCCTTACCCGTCAAGGATTGTTTGGAGGAAGAAGTCTGGAAAGGGGTACAGCACAAATATTGGCAACTTGACACATATTACCTCCCTGTTTCTCAGTCTATACAAGACTCTGAATGAACTATTCTTACCATTTTCTTTCGTTTGTTGTACCCTGGAGAATTTGAAGGAATCATGTTCTATATTCCTTCTTGGGCTGAATATAAATTTTGAACTAATTTGCTCCAAGACTAGGTCTGACGATGACACTATGTTGATTATCTTTCGTCTTTTGAATCACAATGAAACGCATTCTTTCAATTTCTGGAACTATTCTGATTAAGATTGTAACGGCTGAAGTAAAATATCCTATTTTTTTGCTGGTAAGTTGTGCCAAAATCCTAATTAACGTGTCAAAGTGAGCATAGTTTAGCGTTAATTGTCAAATACCTCCAACCATAAGGTTGTGAGTTCGAATTCCCCTCCCAACATGTTGTACTCAAGAGAAAAAAAAAATCTCAATTAACCATTTTGGACTTAATTTCCCCGAAGAAGCCCACCCTATTCATGTGGATAGCGATTAAATAACTTTACTCTCTGTCAGTTAATTAATAAGTGGCACAATGTATTCAATGATTCACTTAAATAAGCAGCTATGGTACTTAATTCTACGAGGTAGCAAATGTTTTTGAATATCATAACTGCTCGAAGTGACACTTGGACATTTATTTTGAAGAATCTTGATCATGAATAATAATTTTGGAAAAGCATCAACCTAATTAATTGTTGGTTGAAGAAATTTGTAGCAGTTGGCTGTAAATTATATGCTACAGCACTTTTCAACATTGCAGATGAAGCCTGAATTCGTCTATTTTGATTTCGATATATTGTCTTCAAGAAGAGGCATAAAGTAATAGGACATAACCAAATTTTTGGTCACAAATAAGGATTGTGCGTGGATTTACAATGGGAATACTTGATTGATGTTATAAACATAAAACAAAGCCAAATCCACTTGAATTCTGTACAATTCTTTTTTTTTTCCATCCTTGTTCTTTCTTTCCTTCTTTTTTTTTCCTTTCCCATGAATATGATATGGTTATACTTAAAAGGTGCACTTGGCAAGAACAGGCAATACAGGTTAAACTAAAAGGAGACAGTTTTCACTTCCAATTCCATGGAAATGCCATTCTTTTTGCAGACATTCTTCTGGGTTTAAGTCCAGGTGAAAGCTATGGGGCTTCCCACAATGTGTTTCCCATCTGACCATTCCAGTCGGGCAAAGCTTTCTGTTCCCGACGGCATTGGTGAAGCAATGAAAGTCACTGTGTAACTCTTCTGCTCATTTTCTTCCGCAAAACTCAGAGATTCCGGCTCAACCACAATCTTCACCGACGGACTTTTCGACGTCTCGGAGACCTTATACGTCGATGAAGCAGCCTTGTTGGTCAGAGTTCTTGTGTATTTTACGGTGGTCGGTGCGGCGTCTCCGCCTCCTCTGACGGAAGGGGTTTCCAACGGAACTGCAAAAGATGGGTAGTTAAGATCCTCCAATTTGTAGTTCTTGCTCGCGCTGCAGGTGAAGTCTTTCTTGGCGATTACTTTAATTTGAAGTGAGGTGTAGTTTAGGGCGCAGAGGAACACGAAGTAGTCGTCGGTGGTGGTGTCGTAAACCAGGCCGGGATCGAGGGCAGCCCCTGGATTCACATGTCCGGCGCCGATATCGAACGGCGTCGACGGTAATCCGCTGGATATGTCTTGAATTGCTTCGCCATTTTTGTACGTTGAGTAGGCTGTGGTCATTAAGGCAGATCTAATGGCGGCCGGGCTCCAATCTGGGTGAGCGGCTTTCACAAGAGCGGCCAATCCACTGATGTGCGGGCAGGACATTGATGTGCCGGAGATGATGTTGAATGCCACGCGCCGCTTATCGCCGTCTAAACCAGTTGGTCCGGCGGCGCCGGTCCATCCGGCCAGGATGTTTACTCCCGGTGCTATCAGATCGGGTTTTAGTATATGCGGAGTGAGGAGATTAGGGCCTCGAGAACTGAATGCGGCCACCACCGGCGATGGCTGAACCCCCAACCTTGTGGTGCCGGTGCTGAATTTTGCTGTTGGGTTCGCGTCGGAGGAGATGTAGCTCTTTATCGCGTCGCCGGTTTTCTGGCCAACGGCCGCCGCCGGCAAGAGATGGGCATCGGCTAATTCTTCTTCCCCGTAAGTTTCAGTGTTGGCCAGAATCATCCCTGCACCGCCGGCCTCTTTCACCACCACCCCTTTCTGTACTCTAGAGTTGCCTCCTCTGTCGCATACGACTATTTTTCCGGCCACCTTCGCCGGATTCAGAGTACCGGTCAGGCAACTGCTACCACTGGTAGAATTACTCGCATGGGCTGCATACACAATTGGTACTAAAGAGTCCGGCAAGGGCTTTCCACTGTAGAGTGACTCACCTGTGAACTTCTTCCCATTTCCAAGGGTAATATAAGCCGGGAAGTCTCTGTCCAAAGTTCCCGCCCCGACYGTGGTTATCCATGGCGCGACGTTCGACAAGCTACCCGATGATGGTCCGCCATTCCCGGCAGAACATGACACAAAAACTCCCTGAGCCGCAGCAGAGAAGGCTCCAATGGCAACATTGTCTCTGTAGTAATCAGGGGAGGATCCACCAAGGGACAAGGACAGAACATTGACACCATCTTCAACAGCCTTGTCTATTGCAGCTAAAATGTCTGAGCCGAAACACCCTCCAAGCCAACATACCTTATATGTTGCAACCCGAGCCTGGGCCGCCATTCCTCTCGCAGTCCCGGAAGCGTAACCGAAGAGGTTGGCTCCAGTCACAGCGGATCCAGCAGCAGTAGTTGAAGTGTGAGTTCCATGGCCATCATCATCCTTCGGTGACTTCGACTCCTGGGATTCGTCAATCGGGCCGAATGCCGATTCGTAGCCCTTTGCAAAGTATCTGGCTCCAATCAATTTCCTGTTGCAACTAGACGAGCTGAAGTTCTTACCCACTTCACACTCACCTTTCCAGCTTGTGGGCACTGGTCCAAGCCCTGCATCGTTGAAGCTCTCAAGTTCAGGCCATACACCGGTGTCGAGAATTCCGATGATTACTTCGCCCACCTTCACCGATGCCGGGAAGAAAGAGTCGCTCTTCCCGAGTCCAAGAAACTCAGGCGTCCGAGTCGTATGGAGCTCGTATTTCGCCTCAGGTATGACAGCAAGAATTCCTTCTCGCTTTTCCATTAACTCAGCCTCCTCCACAGTCAATCTTGTGGAGAAGCCATGAATCACTGTGCTGTAGGAATAAAGCATTTGGGCTGAATCAGAAACTGACTTCAAAGAAGAATCGTACCACTGGAAATGATCATCAAATGCTTGTGGCATGTTGGTTCTGTCCATGTGAATTATGTAAGTCTTCTTCTTCAACTTCTGATTCGTCTTTTCTGCTCCTACATATGAGTAGGAATAGAAAACAATCAAAAACAGAAGAAATAATCGTGAAACTCTGCAAGTTTGCATCTTCATCTTCTTCATTCTCTGTGGAATCGAAGGAGAGCAATTATGCTTCTCTTGTTTGTTTTTCTTGAGGAGGAGAGCCTTGTGCTAAATAGTTTCTAGCTGAGCTCTAATTGGTGGGTCCATTCCAATCATGGCCACCTCCGTGTGGAAAAAAAAAACATCAATAATTCTAAGGTTTTTGAAATTTGCGTATATTTTCTCTTTTTCTTAACGTGTCGTAATGCCTACAATAACAGTGATTCTTTTACAAATCACTCCTTTAACAATTCTAAAGATGGATTAAATATTATCATGGCTTTTATATTTTCAACTTTAGTTCGTTTACGGTCTATTTTGGTCTCTATTCTTTCAACTTTGGTTCATTTTGGCTCTTATTTACAAAATTTTTATATCCAATGGAAACTTTTAATCTAATAAACCTTTCAAAAATAGTATTAAAAATAAAAATTTCCCTACCCCCTATTAGGATAAAATAATTCAAATGGGTTTGAATTTACGAAGCTATAAAGGCGATTATTAATGCATTCTATTGCTGGAAGTATGTTGTAAGTCGGCTATTAAAAGAATAATTGAATGTATATTGATGAAGCCAAATACAAATGGGACCATAAAAATAGGTAATATTAAAGTAGGTGTGAACTCTCTTATATGTGTGTTTAGTCAAATTTGTTAGAGCCCTCTACTTTTAGGGCAACAGAAGTCCACTTTGGGCAGAGTGATTGTTGGCCACTGAAATATTTCGCCAATTCTCAGATCTTTAATCTTTAATCTTTAATCTTTAATCTTTAATCAATTGTGGTGGGTGGGACACTCATTTTGCCATTATCTAATAAAGGTCTCTTCTTTCCAATTCCCAAGTTTTCCAACAATTCAGACTCCATCTTTTTCTACAAAATTCCATTTTCCTTGATTTTTTTTCTCTTTTTTTTTTGTGAAATTATATTTTTCCCAAAATCAATAAATAATTCATTTTGGGGTTAGCTCGAAAACTGTTGTTTAGAGTGACATTTGGGTGACTTCCTCGTACTTTTAGAATGTAATTTCACAAATTTTGAAAAGTACTTTCTCTTAAAGAACAAACAGATTCATTGATAATGGGATTTGAAACTATGTTTACTATAAGTATTTTGAAAAAAAAAACTAATGATATATTTGGGCAGCTTTTAGCTGTGTCAAGAATATTTAAGACTATGTAGCATGAAAGTGCATATATATTTCCTTTTTGTTAAAAGTACTTTCGGTGGTTCAAAATAAAATTTTAATTTGGCATGACTGTAAAAGAATAATTTAAAGTAATTAAGCTTAATTAAAGGCACATTTATATGTGAAGGTGGGGTTCGATCATGTACCTTTTGGTCGGAAATACATGTCTTAATCATTTGAGTTAAGTTATCTCTAATCCGTTCATATGTTATTTTCAAATTTGGCCAACCTGACACATTCAAAGCATAGTCTTAGTCCATGAAAGTCCAAATCAAAGAAATGAAAAAAAGAAACAGAAGGGATAAGACAAAAATAAGTGGAGTTGATGACTATGCCAAAATGAAAGGAAAATCAAACTTTAAATCTGACCTAAAAGTCCAGAATTAAGCACAGCCAAGAACAAGATGGTGGAGGGAAGCTGGATTAAGTAGTAGAATTAAGGATATGGTTAGAAATAATTTCCAATTTGATCAATGATTAATACCGTCCTCTTCCTCAGGAGTTTGATTGAGGCATTTCAACAAGCAGCTTATGTTCAATCCCACTAAATTTATGATATAATGGGCGGAGGGCTACTTTCAGTGGGAGGCCACCACTCATCACCATCCCCATCGCCATCGCCATTTGATAAAGCTTCTTGATCTCTTCCTCTCAATTCACAGCAATTTGGACCGAGGACCCATCTCTGAAAAAGATAGCTTATAGCTCATATGATCATACAATGGAATACCATTTTTAAAATATGTTGATTGATGGCGATCGATGGCTACAAGTCTGTGTATCTAGTCACAAAACTCTTCCCCTATATATCCATTAGTTAGCCTAAGATTCTTTTCAAATTACACCTACATGCTTGTGATTATTCTATTTGTCATCTCGGGTTTGCATGACTTGGGTCTAAAACTGCGTCGAAGAATGAGTTTCATGATCTTTTGGTTTCTTGATTTCCATCTTAATGTAGCTTCCTCTTAATATCGTTGATGCAGCGTTAAAAATTATTGGATGCAAATTTGAATTTGTAGTTCTCCTCTCGAACATGTGAAGGTATAAAACTATTGCTATCTTCTGCGGCAACCTCCAATAATTTCTCATGACTTTGTGATTAGTTACAAGTTACTCAACTTTATGAGGTAGATTTATATAGTCTAATTTTCTACTTTCAACTATTATTTTAGTGACCGTTCATACCAAAGATAGATTTGATTCTCTTACCCACGTTACAACCCCAATTGATTGATACCGTATACATGTCCGCTGTACAATGATCGAAGGGAGACCTGAGTTAGAAGATCACTTTAAGGTTCAAAGCATAGATTATGGGGTCGAACCAAAGTCTGAGTAACCGAACATTAAGTATGCTAATTGATAACTATCAAACGATGCCACTAACCACACTTGTGGATTCTGTGTCGGACTTTGGTGGTCGAATGATCTCCAAGCGATTGTAACTGAAAGTCTCCTATAAATACCATAACTAACGTTATTCTCGGACACATGCGAATCTAATAACAAATTCAAACTAAAATTCATCGAATTGAGATTAACTTGAGTTTTAGAGTGTTCCATCTTCTTTTCTAGTAGAATTTCAACAAAAGACTTCTCGCAGGTCCTTTTTCAAGCCCATCTCGAATACGACATTATTCGTGATTAGAATTGAGCTGAAACAGCAATCATAATTTAAAATCATGTCCAGTGATTTAGAAAAATAATGTTACGAGGGGTTGTCTTTTCAAGGGGGAAATAAATATCCATATTAAGGATACGACTGTCATTATCCGACCTACAATTACATTACGTAATCAAAGTTAGAGTTTGTGATAAAGTTTATATAAAAACGTTACTGTTATGACAAGTGGTCTTTTTTTAAAAAAATATATTATTATTATTATTATTATTAGGCAAGTGGGTATGCTAGAAGGATAGCTGTGGAACTTTACTCAACATTTTGTAGCTGGGAAGAGAGATTAAGAAATTCAAAAGAGGTCATGTTCTGAAGGGACAAAATTACCGGTTAATTAATAATTATTCCTCTTTTTACATTTTAATTACATATAAGCTTATATAGTTTCAAGACTTGACCTCGAATTTACTTATTTATAATGAATATATTACATAAATTATTTTGTTAACTTCTTTTAGTAAGTATCTTGTCAATTTTTTCTTTTTCAATATTAATATTTTGTTGATTAGATATTAATGACAAAAATTCAAGATAAACTAAATTTTAAAGTTTAGGCTGTGCTTGTAAATACAAAAGTATTGCAAGTATTTTTTTAAAAAATKTTAAATTCGAAATTATCGTAAGAATTCTTTACGAAGCAAGACCAAGTGGTTTTGTTTTCTACTTTATATTATTAAAAATTACGTTTGTTTCTACACAATTTCTTTAATATATTTATCACATTTCTTAAAACACATATTTTAGTTCTCAATTAAATTTAAAAAAAAAATAGAAAAATGTTCTTAAAAACTAAAAGCTTTTAAATTTTGAGTTAAATTCTAAAACATTTAAAAGAAAAATAGAATGCTTATCTAACATATTTTTTAAAATATAAAATTAAACTTTTTAAAAAGAATAAAAAAATAAATAGATATTATGACAAAACATAAATAACTTCACTAACCTAAAGTATAATTCTTGTTAGGACATATATCTCCTTAATTAAAATATCCTAATTTTGAATTCTCACCCTCACCTTATTATATTTAAAAAAAAGTGATTTCATTTCTTTAAGCATTATAATTGAGAAAAAAAATCATGATGTATCGTGAAATTTGATCATGAAACACAAAGATAAAAATAAAGCATATATATTTATTTATTTATTTAGGATTGGTGACGGCATAATAAATATAAATGAAAATCCAAGTGGGAAATTAGCTGGAAGGGGCCCACTTTGCTTTGGGTGATTACGAGTTGCTACTTTATTGGAYAGAATATCCAAAGCTTTCAATTCCACACCGGAATCAACACACACAAATTAAAAGCATTTTGGATTTTCCCTGTTTTCTATATATATATTTTTTTAATGTTTTTATTGGTATCAAACCCAAAAAGAAAAAGGCAAATTACTTGGAGGTGCACTTAATATTAGTTAATTAATGACGAAGAAAAAGTAATAGTAGAAGTTTGATACTTTTGTCTTATATTATTAGTGATCATAATTGGTAAAATTTGAGAAATACATTCAAAGTTTTTACATATATGCTCATAATTAATAATTTAATTTTTAAAAAAAACATGGATTCTARTGATATTCAAATCACTTCTCTTCCTAATGTTTTCTTTTCTTATTTTGTGATCTGACTTGATTAATTATTGCAACAAAATTATATTCAAGAACACTAAAAAGTTTTTTTTTTTTACTAATCTAAGGAGGTTCCAAATTTTCTTATGATTTCTATCTTCCATATAAACTTTCTTTTATAGCATTTATATTGAAATTGAAAAAGTGTTATCTTTCAAAATTTTATAACGTGGGAGGCATCAAACAACACTGTCACGTGGAGTACAGAGAGTGGATAGACCACCAAGTCTGTCTTAGATGCTCATTCCCCTGTCCCTACATGAACAACCTACAACATTTAGCCAAGTTTTAGGGAGGAAGATATAGAAAATCAACTTATCTAGATGTGCTCGATAGGTAAACCTTTGGCTCAAAATGTCCAGCTGCCAGTCGAATTTCTTGTCGAATATCCAAATCTATAAATAGGAGGTCTCGCTCTGAARTCTCATCACATTCTAGCTCGATCTCAATCCTATGATCGAAGTCTAAATTGACTCGAGCGTCAGAGTGTGTATTTCCTTGTGCATGTCCTTTCTTGCCAAACGATCCATCCAGTTCGCCTAATCAACCTATTTTAATTAGATCGACCTGACTGATATTTATTGTACAAATATATAGAGTTAAAAAAGCACTCCTCTTAATTTGTTAAAATACTAGA